CAGGGACCAAAGTCCAGACGGAGCTGCTGCAGTGCTGAGCACCTGTGCCAGAAATCCACACCTCCCTGGGGGTCTCCAGTTTTTGTTTTTGTTTTTTTTGGGGGGGTTTCTTCCTCCCCCAAAAGAAGAGGAGGCGAGCGGCGCCGCAGCAGTCACGGTGCTAACCGCGTGCTGCAGCAGGAGGAGCAGCAACTGTGAACGAGCCTTAGCATCGGTGCTAACTGGAGCGCCATGTTCTGTCAAACACAGCCTGTTAGCTCAAACTCTCTCACGCTCTCTCCCCCACTCCTCTGCTGCTGCTGCGGATGAAAGCTGCACTTGCTCAGCTCACAGTGAGCAGGCGCAGGATTTGGAGCCTCCTCCCCCCTCCTCCCTCCCCCCTCACAGCCTCCTTCCTGCTCTGACAGTCCTTCCTCCCTAGATGGCTCTCTTTCCTCGGTTCTTCTTATCTGACCCAGCGTGGAGGACAGGAACAGGACACTATAGCCTCTGGCCATCCTGGTGGAACGGACCCCCCCCCCCCCCCCCCCCCCCGGTGTGGGAGGAGGGTATTAAGGGGGAGGTCCAGCCACAGTTCCTCCCTCCTCCATTGGACTCCAGCTTTGATCAGTGTCAGCAGCTCACCCTGCTAATCTGTTAATGAACCAAGTGGACTGGTGCTACACCCCCCCCCCGCGTGGTGCTGTGTTGTGGCCATGTTTTGCATCTGTGATGAGTCCAGTCAACACCAAACTGTCTGTTTATGCTTCAGTAACAAAGAAGTGTCTGAAAATCTGTAAAAAATACTAAGATCAACTTCAGATCCATTAACAGATCTAACCCTGACACAACAACACAACAGGAAGTTGACAGAATCCTGTTCCTGTGACATCATCAGTCAGTGTTGATGATGTCATTCTCTTTGTTCAACACGCCGCCGTCCTGCCAGGACCCGGTGTCCAATCACGATTCTCTGATTACAAACTCGTTACTTAAACCAACAGGACCAGGCTGTACAATCACAACACGAATATAAAACGGAAATCATGAGTTAAAGGAGACTTGAACCTAAAACTGAAAACCTTAAAGTTTAATGAAAAACTTAAGGTCAAACGCCCGACCAGCATCACTGCGTGCAGGGCAGTAATTGGTTTCCACGGCGATGCTACAGCTACAGATCCCAGAGCTACTGGGAGCTAACTGCAGTTGTATCGTGTCGTATTCCTACAGCCTGGTTTAAAAGGACAAACAAAAACCAGGTGAAACAGAAACAGAACATTTTCTTACAGTTCTTATATTTCAGCTCAGTTTCCTGACATTTTGTTTTTCCCACAAATTTGAGTCTGAAAAGCCTTAATTGCAGCGATAAGACCAGGTTCACCGCCATACCATAATATCCCTCCAGCTCTGCCGCTCTACACCTCGTTCTCTCTCTAAGAATATTTTCTACCGAGTCTCAATGTACAAACGTGTCATATGTGGGCGTGTGGTGTGACAGCCAGGACGATAAGAAAGAACGACTGTATGACAGAGGGCGGGCGAGAGACAGAGAGAGAGAGATAAACCCAGCACTGCCCTGAGGTATCAGATGTGTCGTGTCAGGAGCTAGAACTGTTTCACCAACCAAAAACAATATATTTACTTTTTCCAAGAGATTTTGTGAAAATATTCGACTCCAACACCACAAATTAGCTGCCGTTACAGGCGGCATCGGTTGAAATTAAAAAAAAAAAGAAAAGAATGGACCATTGATGCGTAAGGAGCAGGCTGCGTTATCTACAAAAGTCACTGGTCATACCATGACACTACACACTCTCGTACAGTAGGTGGCAGTATGCGCCTAAAAATGGTAGTTTTCACCCGATATTAACCGAAAATTAAATTGATACTAAACACAACTAAATCAATTCATATTTAATCAAATCAAATGTTTTAAAAATATAAATACTTAAATTTATATTTTACTGTTTATAATCTTTATAATTTACTGCAAGCAGGTTAGAGACTCGAGCTGTTGGACCAAGATTTTTGACTGAAAAAAACAAAAACCGAAATGAAACAAAAACAATCGACACTCTGGGCCAACAGATATCCCGTCCAAGAATGACCTCACACTAAAGTAGAACTCTCCGGGGGGAGGGGGAGGAGGGAGGGGGGTGAGGATCAGTGAGTGTATTGTTCATCTCCAGCCCTGGGGAGGAGAAAAAGCTGAGCAGTGATCAATCCACGGGGCAACAATGAGGAAATGAAGCTGCAGTGGAGACGGAAAGAACACCAAAAAAATATGAAAAAAAAAAAATTAAATGAATTCATAAATCAAACAAACGTCTCATCAACACTGAACAAACAGGACAACATGTCTGTTGACAAAGACAACGTCTGTCCAGAACTTTCTCCTTTTACTGTCAAGTAAAAAGCCACAAAACAGGACATGGTGCTAATGTTCACCATCATCATCATCATCACCACCATCATCATCAGCTGATCGATCCCCCCCTCCCTTACCCCCCTCTCCTCCTGTCGCTCACA